CATTCCCCCCATATGGGGAATCCCATTCCTCCCTAACAAACAGTAGGAATCGGAATCAGAATGCCATTCTGATTCCAGTCACCTATTTCTGGAAACCAAACAAACCCTAAGTCTCTCTCTTGCAGATTGTGTTTTAGAAGCACATGTGGTTTTCTTTTTCTGGAGTAGAATATTCAATTAAATTAGTGCATGTTTTTTGTTTTGGTTTTTTACAATATAATTTCCAATTGTCTTGCTTCCTGCTGATTCATTTTTTGCGTGCAGTTCTTGGATATGAGCTCTTTGCAGACAGCACTACCAAATCCCCAGTTGCCACCTGCCTTCCTCAGTGGCCTACCTGAACCTTGGTTTCCTCAGAATCCAGTCACATCTTATATTCCAAATACTCCACAAGGTAAGTTTCAGTCACTTTATTGGTTCCGATAGAAGTCCCTTATTGGTTCATTCATCTTTATGCTATATATCTAACCTTATGTTACATTCTCAAGGAGGCTTAGCTTCTTACATGGCTGGTCAAGTACCAAGCTCTCAGTTGCCGTAAGTTGCTTTTCTTCTTTCATGGTATTATATTACCTGATTGGTAAATTTTATGCCTTATGGATGCTTAGTTATGCTGGCAGTGCACCAACCTAGATTTCACTTGGTCCAGCACTTCTTAGCAACCCCCAAATTAAGGCTCAGCTTGGAAAGAGTACAAATGCAAATATGTACAGCGTAAATACATACAAAATAATACAAAATATAAGGTTTTGCGCTTTTCATATTTGCATTTGTACTCCTTCCAAGCTCAGCCTAAAGGACATGCCAGCGATGGAAACAAAAAAAGCAATTGATTTATTGAATTTTCAGGGGGCCGCCAGCATGTCTGTTTGATTGGGGAGGAGGATAGCAAGGAAGTGCTATGACTGGTCACAGCAGATGTGTACTCATTGATGTGGTTGTTGATTATATTTATCCAATTTACTTTTCCTGTTTTTCTCTTTAGAGGGTGTTTGGCAATATGAATGGTTTTGTTTCTTTAAACAAATGCATATTGATTGGCAAACACCCCATGGTAATTTATCATTTTCCTCGTATTCTGTGGTTGGAAAAGGTGTGGCTCATCTCAGAACACACCACACCAGCATAGTGGTTCATGCATTCTGAAGGCTGTAGTGTGTGTTATGGGATGAGACACAACAAATGATATGTTCTGCATTATGGTGTATTCTGAATAGAATATATTAATGTGTGACACATATAACATAAATTGATACTAATACCATTGATCATGTTTCAATGTGTATGTTATATGAGACACATTTTACAAGTAATCAAAAGAAACTTCAAAATTAATTTATACAAATAAAGCATCATAAAATAATTAAACATAATAAAAATAATATAAGTCCTATAAATGTGGTGCGAGTGGCGTTTTAGCCTTGCTTCCTAAATGAGGTCCATCAAATGGTTGCTGTCCTTCAATAAATGTGCCATGCTTTTGGCCTTAGTGCCGTTTCCAGACTAACGTATAGGGTAAATTGGTTTATATTCTAATCTTGCTAAACATTTAGTGTGCTTATTTGACAGGAATATTCCTTCACAAGGACCTGTTGCATCTCTTGGTGGGAATCCTTTTGCTTAAGTATGGGCGAGTTTAATCTTTATCATCGTATATCACTTGTGGCTGAGAACTGTCTGTGGTCGGTCGATTAGAATTGAGGCAAGGTTGCATTTTTATTTGTATTCTCTGTGCAATAAAACATTAGTGTTGTAAAAATCCCCACTAGTCCTTCAGACGTTTAATTTAATGTGCTTTTTTTGCATCGTTTTCTTTTCAGTGTATTAACTTGAGGAAGACCGTAGAAATATTATATCCCAGGAACATAATAGTATTTGTCAAATTAACTGTCTCATTCCAAAATAACTGGTATCCTAAATTTCATCATTTTTCTTGTACAGTGATTCTTACTAGTTCGTATTTTCCTTGGTGTGTTATGGTGGAAATTTAATCATTGAGATGCCACCATTATTAAAATGTCTGATTATCTTTATTTTTGGGTAAATTGCTGAAACCTCCCCTGAAGTTTTTAATATCATTGCTAAAGTTTCTCCTGAAATTTGGTGATTGCAATCATCTCCAAGTAGACCCTTCTGCTATAATCTTTTAAAAAGAGATGCAAAAATGTCTAAAATACCTATGCAATTACTGTTTTTTATAGAAAAAATATTCTAAAGTTCATAAACAAAAAAAATAGAGAATATAAAGTTGTATCTTTACATTTGAACAATTGATATGAAGGGAAAATTTGGAAAATAAATTAATTTCAGAAAAGAGATTAGAAGGGTTTGAGCTACTGGTTCATATGAAGAAAAATTTTGGAAAAATAAACATTTTGGTCAAAAGTAATTATATGGGTATTTTGGATATTTTCATGCCTTTTTTTAGAAGATTTTAATATTATATAGAACTATGTTAGAAAATTCAGGGGAGGTGACTGCATCTACCAAACTTCAATGGTGGTTTTAATAATTTACCTTTTTTTATAGATAAAAATAGAAATTTATTGACTATTAAAAGAACAGTCTAAATACAATCCAACAAGAGAGTCTACCCATCCATCCAATCCCAAGGCAAAAAAAGCCTCACTTTCTGTTCAACAACACGAGGTCACGAGCATCTCTATTTTGATTCCAATTTTCATATTCTAAATAAATTTGATTCATGCCTTTAATGTACAATGACCCTCTCAAGGCAAAGAAGACAAAAGACCATTCAAAAAATTAATGCTAATAAAGGAGTTGTATTCAATCCATAATCAAAGATGAGCAGCCAAAATAGCATTAACATAAGGCTCAATTTGAAAGGAATACAAATACAAATGTGCACAGATGAGTACAAATATATATAAAATATAAGCTTTTGCATTTTACAAATTTGTATTTATACTCTTTCGAAAGTGAGCTTAACTTAGTTAACCGTCGTAGGATGATTGAGAAACCCAAAATTAGGGCTGTTCATGGGTCGGGTTGGGTCGCTTTATTGAGGTTTTTTCAACTGACCTTACCTGGTCGGGTTAGCTAAGATGGAAACTGAAATCGACCCAGTGTTAAGCAAAATCGACTTGGTCGGTTTGAGTTGGGTTGGGTCGGTTTGGGTTGGTTTTGGCTCTAAGTTCATCCATGCCCCCCATGGCCCATGTGCCTGTGTGGGGCAAGTTTGGGTTGTTAGATATTTCAGTTTTTATGTAAAACTGAAATATCTTTATTTAACAGTTTTAAATATAAAATATATTTAAATTAAAATTGAAATATATATTTAAATAGATTAGGTCGATTCAATTTAAAATCAAAATATATATTTAAATAGATAAGTAGGAACTAAATCGGTTCGGTTCGGGTCAATTTCGATTTTCACACAAGAAAATCGAAACTGACCCGAACCATCAGTTTATGAATTTGTACAACCCGAAACCGACCGTTGCTGATGAAAACCCGGTCGACTCGGGTTGGGCCTTCTTATGAACAGCCCTACCCAAAATAATCTTCATTTTCATTTATAATGCCACCATTACATCTTAATTGGATTCCCTATGGCCGCAATCATACCCACATTGATTATTAGAATTAGACAATAAAACTTTCGGAGAAGTACAGATATACCCGATGCAGAATTCTGAATTCCAGCCCCCCTACTACTAGCCCGCTCCCCCCTATAAACCACATCCTGTCCGTGAAATTGATATCAATTCACGGTCAGGATGCATTCCCCTTGTACTTTGGGGCTATAAAATTCTAATCTGGGCTGATTGGTCATTCTCCCTAAAACTTTACAATTTTGAATGGCATTATCTTGTTTGTGATAAAATAAACCCCACACTGTGTAACTCAAGAAATATCCGATTTCTTGCATACCAAATATAATAAAATACATCTGAATTTCTTATAGGGTTTTGGTATAATCTCAAAATACTATTATGACACATTAAGGCCCCGTTCACTTTTTGGTAAGTTACTCGGGTAAATGCAAATTACCTGGGTAAGTTTTTCCTAGGAACAAGGTTCAAAGTATTGACATGTATCAGCCCGTATCGACTGATACGTATCATTCTGGGGATCCCTCTAATATGCCCCTATAGTGGGTGTATCGGAGGTCTGACCGGTTCAGGGGTTGCGAAAAAAAAGAAAAAAAACGCAATAAAAATGTGTATCGATTCGCCTGATATGCCCTTACCGACATATCGAGCATATCGATATTTTGAACCTTGCCTAGGAAACAATTACCTAGATAAATGCATTTACCTATGTTCTTTTATTTTTTAGGTAAATAAGGCAATGACCATTTTAGCCATAGAAATCCATTATTAAAAGGGGTATTTTTGTCCCATTCAAGTGTTGGGCAACTTTCCCCCTATGTGGAAAATTTATTTATCCACCTAAGAGATGGGTAGCACTTTCCTATGAAAGTGATACCCAGAAAAATAAACTTTCCCTAGTTCCCACATAAAATTGAAAAAAAAAAACATGAGATTCTTCCCATTGACCAACTTTTCCTCCTCTCCAAATCCAAAAAAAGAACAACCCCTAATTCTCACACCTAAAGGTACCCAAGTCACGCTGCTTTGGGAACGCATCGTATTAACAGATTTTCCACAGAATGCATCATATTAACCAAAAAACACCCTCATTTCTCATAATTGAATTAGCAATAATAAAGTCCCTAAATGGCTCTCCACATGAAAATTCTTAATCTAGGAGGAATATGGAGTTTCGCTTTTTTAATTAATCAAAAATATCCTCATTTCTCCATTGCATGCATTAAGCCCATTTGACAAAAAATATAACCATTTCTAACCTCCTTTCAAACAAACTCATTTTAAGCCCCTGTGTAATGTGTGTACAAGAAAAGCTCACTCTTGTAAGAAGACTACTCTATGCTCTTCATTACTTCAGTATCCACCTGCCCTTTCTTGACTGCCCCACCCAAATCCCTATGTCTAGTCTTATACATGCATCCCTATGTCTAGTCTTATACTCGTTTCACCCACTTTTAAAAGATTAGAAAATACAGAGGTAATAATAAAGTGGGCCTCTATTCTGCTCATTTCACCCACTTTTAAAAGATTAGAAAAAATAGAGATAATAGAAATTGTTGTAATTTTTACATTTTTTATACAAAATTTTTATATTTTTTTTTGTAATTTCTACAAATTTTGCATATTTTTATGCATATTTTTTGATATTTTTATAAAATTATTATAATTTCTGTATTTTTCTGCAAAATTTCTACATTTTTTTGGTATTTTCATACATTTTCTATTTTTTTTTATTTTTATTAGGGGCAAAATTAGAAATCATGATTGATTCCGATTCCAGCCTCTTCATGAACAAGCAACATCAATCGGAACTAATTCTGATTCCTATCTAAACCAAACAAGTAAGGGGAATAGACCATTCCGATTCCGATTCTAAAAAATTTCGATTCCAATTCCAACCACGAACCAAACGGACCCTCACATGTAATCAATAGATTTCCCTTTGTAAGGTGGGAACTGTAATGATTACAGTTGGTCTTATTTCTGGTGGTAGTGAATAGGATGTAGGGGAAGAATAATTGGAAAGAGAGCTGGGAAAGGTAACTTTAGAATCGGAAAAGTATGAAATCAAGGCTTTTAGAGAATGACCGGAGCACTGATATAGATGGATCTATCTCCCCCTTTACTCCTTTATAGGCGAAGGGAGAGTTGGTTTCACATATGCATTTATCAAAAATTTCAGAATGTTCGCTAGTCGGTTACATGTTTGAATCTTTGGGCTGTGGATGCGGTGGCATGCATTGGGCTGCGATTCATGGAGCAATTTTTCTTTAATTCCATTCTCGTAGATGCCTACTATGTGTCGTCTTGAAGGGGCATGCTTTGTCGTACTTAACGGTATTTGTAATTGCTTATTCTCTATGTTTTTCTGGGGATTATCCATGGTGGTTGTCTTTAATCAAGTGAGCTTATTCCCTATGCTTTCTCTTGGTTCCTTATGCTTTGTCCTGGTTTTATTGTAGTTTGTTGGAGGGAGATTCAAAATTTTAAGAATCTCACCTCCCTCCCTTGTGCTTTTTGAGTTTTGTCTTTTCCTCTTCTCTCATTTGAATGTCTGAGAAGACTCCTTATCCCACATTGTTTGGAAAAAGAGTTGAGTTGGAGTATATCTATAGATTTGTTCTCTTTATGGGTAAGGACTCATAGGAAGAAAACATTAGATATTCGCATGCATGTTGGGGGTGTTTTTCACATGCATGTCGAGCCAGGATGGGGCGTGGGCATGGGTGAGGGTGAGTGCGTATGTGTATACGCACGCTACACCAAATCGTTTTGGTTTTGACCAGATTAAATAGTTTGACTTTTGAATTTCAAAAGTCAAAATAGTGCACCTGTCTCCAAGATTGCACCTTTCAATGGAACTAATTACAAGCATTGGAGATAATGCTTTCTGTTTGCCTTAGAACAGTTAGGGGTAGCCTTTGCTTTGACTGAACCGAATCCACTAAACAAGGAGGAACCAACCCGTTCTATTGTTGCAAAACATTGGACTGCGACCGACCACCTTTGCATAAACCATATGCTCAATTGCTCATCCAATGAATTGTACAATGTCTACTATTCTTATAACTTTGCCTATGAAATTTGGAATGCATTGGACAATAAGTATGCTCTAAAAAATGTTGGGAATAAAAAATATGTGATTGCCAATTTTCTGCATTTTACCATGAAAGAAAACATGGACGTGTCTGTCCAAATAGATGAGTTTCAGGTGCTTGTGGGGGAATTAGCAAAGGAAGGCATGATACTGCCAGATGAATGTACAGTGGTTGCTTTGGCCCTGGTGATAGTAGTATAGCCTAAATCAAGTATTCGATGATGTACATATATCAAATATCAAAATCATACCTTG